GTTAATTAAAAGTACTTTTAGTCTATATTCTGTGATCAAACAGTACCTTTATTGTAGTCAGAAAATATACATGAATGTTATAAATGTAGTTGAATAGGATGATTTAGACTAGCTTCTTGGTTCGCTAGTTCTTCTCAATAATGAGTACGTTAATTAAAAGTACTTTTAGTCTATATTCTGTGATCAAACAGTACCTTTATTGTAGTCAGAAAATATACATGAATGTTATAAATGTAGTTGAATAGGATGATTTAGACTAGCTTCTTGGTTCGCTAGTTCTTCTCAATAATGAGTACGTTAATTAAAAGTACTTTTAGTCTATATTCTGTGATCAAACAGTACCTTTATTGTAGTCAGAAAATATACATGAATGTTATAAATGTAGTTGAATAGGATGATTTAGACTAGCTTCTTGGTTCGCTAGTTCTTCTCAATAATGAGTACGTTAATTAAAAAGTAAAAATAACTAATAATTATAATCAGTGTTAAAAGAAATAAATTACAATATTTTATGAATCCTTACCCTAATTCTGATTTTTAAATAACTTAAATGAAAACGATAAAAATTACACTTCACAAAGTTAATCTAAAGTTTGACTATATAAGTGGCGTCTCAACCTGTACTGTGTCTGTCGTATCTCAGCCGACATGGTGAACCCTGGTACTGAGCAAAAGGCCTCGTCGGTTCTGGATATATCAGACATAGTGTGGTTGAAAAATTATTACATATTCTTCAATCATAAAATCTTGGAATTACCTTTACAAAGAGACCGACACGGCGGCACCAACTGACCTTGACCAATACACTTGGGTGCGTATAAAGAACAGAAGAACAATGGGGTAAGAGGGTAACATTTGACACTGAAAAGAGGCTCATAGCGACTTAACACTTCGGTGGCTACTATCTGACTTTTATGTCCCAAAAGATTTGGAAGAATAGTGTAAGAATAGGGTATTTTATGTTTGTGGCAAACGGGGATTCGAAGAGTTATACATTCCCCTTCTGAAAATAAAGAGAGGAAGGATTAGGTAATAAAAATATTCAGAATAAAATCATTTCACGAAAAATATATACCTGTTTTATTCGACATGTATACATCTATCTTACGATCTAACACAATTCTACATAACCAATGTAAAACTAAATATCACGCAAAAAACTTGGTATAACCACTATAAACCTATCACCTAGCGTGATTTATTATAACCATTATAAAATAAATCGCTAGGGTGATTTCATGTAACTTCTAGAGTGATTTAATATAATCATTCTAAACCTATCACGTAGCATGATGATTTAACATAACTACTGTAAATATGTCACATAGCATATATTTCTCAAAGATTTTGGCAGAATACGATAATATGATGTACAGAAATACGTCTTCTTAGGAAGATAAGCGAGGAATCCATGCGTGTTTATCAGTTTAACCATATATAGGCGATTTTAAAGTGAAATTATCACAGATTGTACTATAATAACAGAGTAGAGAAGAATAATTTGTCTTGTCAAATTGTGTTCTAAAGTAACTGAACCAGTCCGTGTGAAATTTGACGAAAAGGAGACAATCATTTAAAGCTCTAGATATAACTGTGATAACCAAAAGTGTAACGAACATTTGTATATACGTTTAACTGTTTTAATATATATATTATTTGAAAACAAGTGGAGTGTATGCTGTTTGTTTATTGTTGAAATTTACTGCCAACAAGTCACAGACACCTACTGTAAGTGTAAAGAATCCGGCCCTATACAATACCTGACACTAAAAAATGATAAATAAATAAATAAAATCGGCTCTGTCATAAGTAAGTAATTGCATTTCATATATATATATATATATACATACATATACATCTTTGTGTGTGTGTGTGTGTGTTTGTGTGTTAAAGATTTCTTTAAATAGTTGGTTCACTGTATAACATCGAACAATGAATTCGACGAAATGTTATAATATTATTCACATACCTAAATTAATTTAGGTTACTAATACTATACAGTGTAGTGAAATGAGCTCAAAACCCCATAAATAATTTCAATTTCATTTCCCCGTGCTTTTTTGTTTCTTAATTTTACATCAGAGTTACTTTCATCACCAAGAAGTTGTAAGTTAATTCGTTTCTTGAGAGGAATTGAAGTATTTTTAATTTACCTGTGTTCAACTGTGACCGTGAGATAATTTCCCTAAAGTTATTAAACCTAACTTAAAACAATTATGAACGAGATTTAGGGGTAGTGACGTCATAAAGGAATATCAAAACAAGACTCTACCTAATGTCTACTTTTATAAATAAAATATTTATAATAATGTAATGCTTTTAGAAATCGTTTTGAGAAAAAAATTAAAGTAATTAGTAATTTCATGAAGATTGATAAGAAAATTTCAGTAGAAAACTTTTGACGTATTTAATGTAACCACACAAATGTATAAGGAATGTGGATAGTCATGCACATTAGGCTAAACGTATGAGAAATAAGTAATGACGTGAACATTAGGGTAAACTTAAAAGAAACGGGGTGGGACATTAACATTAGCCTGATTAGGCTAAACGCAAAACTAAAAGAAATAGGAAGAGACATGAGCATTAGGCTAAAAAAATATCAAGCGAACTAAACATGTCATACTTGAAAACAACGTAAAATTATACGTAAAGAAAGAAACCTGAACAAAAGGATCAAAGCGGAAGCTCTGATAATTAAAAGTACACAATTTTCACAAACAAATATCCAGGCATTCTACATCCTTAGTAATTTAACTCCTGAGAGAAAAAAAAATGTTCCTCATAATTTTCATTACTATTTAACCATTTGATGAAAAATAATAATGATTAATCTAGCGTCATCTATAATAACTGATTGTCATTTTTCACACGCTAGTGTATTGTTGTTATTTGAATTCTAAAAGTATTAATTGTTCGATTATAATTTGATAAGAACTGGTGATGACCCATTCCTCTGGATTAAAACGTCAGTAATTAAATATTAACACACATTCCTACAACAAAGCTCCTTATTACTCTTCATCAGATTAACAATTAATTTACTGATGTAGATAATTAAGCTATAAGAAAACACTCTGTTCTAGGGTAAAAAAAAAAAAGCAACTGTAGTGTCCAAAATAAAATTAAAGCATATTAAGATTTATCTTCGTATTTGTGAAAATAACTCTTCTTCACATACCTTTGTTGACTGTGACATTTTCTAATGAAATGCTCCTAGGAAGAGCTGCAAAGAAGAACGTATATAATCAGTAGAAACAAGTGTAGAGTAAACAATAATGTCATCATTAGATATTCCAAGATGATTTAGTGGAAAATATTTGTTTATTTCGAACGTTGAAAAGAACATGAAGTTAAGTTATTGAACTCCAGTAGATTAGAAGATCACCTTAGAATTTGGCATAGTTGAGTTAGCAACTAACAATAGGTACAAAAACAGCAGAAATGAAGAATTAAAAAGAACTGAACATGTTAAAACACTAAAGATGATAATGAAGCACATATTAAAACAACTGACAAGAAGGCGTATGTTAAAGTACGTTACAATACATGAGTTAAAATTATGTTAATATAATTTATATCTTAAAGAAAAAACAGTGTAAGTCATCAAACTAAGTTTTAGTCTTCTGATTGGTGTAGTGCTAATTAGTGAAGTGTTTATTGGTGTAGTGCTGACTGATTAGCACTAAGTGGTGTAGTGCTGATTGATGTAGTTTTGTTTAGTGTAGTGCTAATAAGTTTAGTGTTGATTAATGTAGTATTGATTAGTGTAGTGCTAATTAGTTAAGTGTTGAATGGAGTAGCGCTGACTGGTTAGCACTAACAGGTGTAGTGCTGTTTGATGTAGTTGTAATTAATGTAGTGTTGGTTGGTGTAGTAATGATTATTGTAGGGCTTAATGTAGTTTTGACTAGGTTAGCACTGATTGGTGTAGTAATGATTATTGTAGGGCTTAATGTAGTTTTGACTAGGTTAGCACTGATTGGTGTAACAGCACTACATCAACAAATACTACACTATTTAATACTACATCAATCAACACTACGCCAATCAGCACTACATCAACCAATACTACACTAATTAATACTACATTAATCAACACTACACCAATTAACACCACACTAATAAGCACTACACCAATCAGCACTACACTAATTAATATCAATCAACACTACACCAATCAGCACTACATCAACCAATACTACACTAATTAATACTACACCAATTTGTAGTATTAATTAGTGTAGTATTGGTTGATGTAGT